TACGTGACCAAAAGCTTGCATACATTGTCAAGCAAATTTCAAAACGGCGTCAATTGACAACAGACAATATGAGCAGGTTGATAATAAGTGCGTAATTCTTAGCGTTTTTCTTAAGGCGACTGACTTTTAATAGGTATGGTTTTGTCTTATATATATATGATTATTGGCTATTGTTCGTTTCGATATTATAAATGTATGAAATTATTGATCTATTAGAACTATTTCCTTGTTATTTTGGCTTGTTTTTTTATGAATTTGAAGTGGTGTTTACTATTAGTACCACAAATCAAACAAAACCTAAAAGATGACATGTGTGTCTACAATTAGGGTTACATCGAACTGATTTTGTTAGCTTATTTTAATGCAAATTTAGCCTTTACGTTTTAAAACTAATGTTTATATCTGAGTTTCGTTTATTTTACACTAGTCTAACTATAAGTAGACAGTGTCAACTATTAGGGTATACTAGGTGTCAACTATTAGGTATCCATACATTTCAAATTAAAGTTCGAGTACAATGCCTCCAGTAAAGGGTCTAATGTTTCGATACTCAGAAGACAATATGGAAGCAGCTATATAAGAATGCAGGCGGGACGTTCCGACAGCGGAGAAGAAATTCGGAGTGATTCAAGGGAAAGACCTATTACACGTAAAATGGGAAGAAGGTGTTACGTGACCGAAGCGGTGAAAAAATACTCGTAACATGGGCATAAGCTATGGTCGAACAAGGGTTCCCAATACGAAAAGATAACTTACAAGATAGTGCTAAGAAAATAGTTCAAGACCTTAAGATAGTAAGATAGAATCCAAGAACGGTAGACCAGGGAAGAGATGGTACAACAGCTGTTTAAAGCGTCACCCTGACCTTATAACAAGGTAAATTTGACAGCCTCCATGTAATGATATCTCAAATAAAAAATTGGTTTCAAGAAATTGACAGTAATATTCATACAGATATACTTAATGCACCTCAGCGAGTTTATAACATGGACGAGAACTTCTTCGTGAACCCCAAAGGAATAAGGTCCTAGTATCGATAGTTTAGATTTGAATAGTTTAAAGTACTTAATATCATATATATTCCCAGCCTGGAAGACATCCACTACAAAATTAATTACTTTTGGCATGCAATGATTTTCTGACAATTATATTTTTATGTTATTTGATTTGATTATATTTTGTTGCTATTTTAATAATTTTAAAGCACAGGCTGTGCTCGGTATTCATTTTAAAGTATTTTTATTGATTTGTTTTGATGAAACACATAATATTAGAGTGATCTCATATATGTCTACTATTAGTTCCAATTGATGTCTATTTTTGGTGGATTTGATTTTTGATGCTGTCATCTTTTAGTGTCTACGACAAACCTAAGAAGAATATTATTCTATGTTATTTTTAAAGGATGTATTGCTCTAACAGTAAAAAAAATTGTAACTGTAGTTTTTTGATAAATACATTTGCATTTTTGAGAATGAAGTTTGGTTAGTCCTTAATGTGTCTAGCATTAGTGCTTTTACCTTATAGTATGTAACAATTTTACTTCCCGTTGATTCCAAGGCTTCTGTTAATATGTTTTAACTATTTTCTTGCTTTTGTGCACTAGCAGATATTAAAACGTCACATAAATTCCCAAAACACATTCAATAAATGTATTACTTATGGACATATACATATTTATGTTACAATGGCATCTAGTCTCGTTACCATTTAGTGAAATAACGATAAACATTCCCAACGAACACGTTTTTTTGTTTTGTTCTCGTCCGCGGCGGATTTAAGTTCCTCGTCTGCGCAGGCATGGCACTAGTCACGTTAATGCATCGCCCGCAACCGGTTCCGACCAGTCGTGGTCGTAATTCACCACTAATCTTGACCCACAGCTGTCTTGGACCAGTTTTCGGTCGGATCTGTGAAGGTTTGACCCGCGATAGTCATACCTACTCATTGGGCCGGAAACGCAAGTTGTGGGTGGTAACAACTAAGATTACATCGTGCTATTAATTCACTTTTATGACTGACTTATTATTAAATGGTCATTGACATGTTAATCTAATACATTTTTCTTTAAGATATTTTGACAAGATTTTATTTTCAAATAAAACATGAAAATTCGTTACTTAATCATTAAATTACATAAATGCATTATAGTAATAACTGACTGACGACGATGATTTGTTGTAATACGATTTATGTGTGTATTATTTTAATGTGTTTAAAAACCAAAAATAAAATAAAAATAATAAAATGTAGGTATCATATAAATGTTTCATAATCATGCAGCGCTGTTTTAGTCCATAGTATCTATTTAAACAGACTTCATTCACAGACGGCTGAATATTGACATTGTGAAATTAATCCGACAGATTTACTTTGATCCTTTATGTTGTAATGGAATTGCAGTCTTGATTAATAAATTTTATTAGAAATTTATGAAATATTTAATTACTTTAAAATTCTTCCTCTAGAACTGGTAACGAAGTTAGTTTAAATAAAATTTAATATGATTAGGTATATTATAGTATAGTATATAGACGTTATAGGAATAGATACCTATCAACTTAATTTTAGTATGTATCTCTATTTCGGTTCAATCGTTGTACGTATACGTTGTACGTACTTTATATTATTAACTGACTTCCAAATGGAGATCTTTTTATTGGTAATTCGCAAATTTTAAGCCACTTCTTTACAATCGATCCACCCACATCTTGTCACCATTCAAGATGGTTTATTCGAGAATTTTACCTAATATACTAGTATTAATCTATAATGTTAAATTGCTATTATTGTTTTAATGGGTCATTCAATGGAATGTATCTAGATTAGATTAATAATTTTTTAATGCATGATAATGAGCTGGAGTTTACAATGGAGGAGGATATGCTGAGGATAAAGTTAGGTCAGTCAGTAGGCCTATCGTTTTTCAGACTATTTGTATTACGTTGTATTGCGATAACAAACCAAATTAATCCCCTGCCATGTTGAATTTAAATATACACAGGAAAATATGGACATGTCTAGTGACGCGTTCACCACAATGTCAATATAATGCCTAATTATACGATCTGTGATATTAGTATTAAATATGTGTATTGTTTATTAGGTATGTTTCTATATTTAACATTTACAGTTGTTCTAACTAAATTAAGACTTAAATAAAATAAAATTATTATCAACACTAGTTGTTCAAGACTAGAATCCCTTCCAATCGTTGTCAACGATAACCACAGTGAATCATTTAAGGGTTTTTACAATTAAAATCACGTACATGAGTTAGTCGCATTTAACTTTAATGAAGTTTCCTCAGTTGAGACATGATGTTGAAATGAATAGTCGCGGTTCAGCGGTCCGTGTTTTCTGCTGATGATTGTCGAGTAAAACTATTTCACCCCAAGTCATAAAATGGCTTATATTAAATTGACAAACTTGGAGGAATATCACTGCCATTGGGGATCTATACAGTCAGGAGGGCCATATTGGCGGGAAATAAAATTAAGGTGTGTAATATTAGTAATATTTTCGTCTGCGCAAGTATTGTTGTGTCGAATTTGTGTTTCTGAACCTACCTAAAGTTTTAATGTTGATTCCCAATTTTTGTTAATGAATGGAAGGAATACTTTGATGAGCGTTCAAAAACGAATGGTATTTGGTATAAAACAATACAGTGTGAGCCTCTTCAGATTCCCTGGTTTACTGATGCAAAATTGAACAGATGTAAATTGAAATATTATTTAGAATCCGATCCGGTCACTATCAAGTAATCAAGAAAGTACGGATATTTAATGAAAAAGGAGAATTACCCGATTATGTCGTGTGTCAAAAAGTCGAAAATGTCCAGCACCTCTTGATGAAATGTGATAGGAATAGAGTAGAGAGGGAACTATTTATTAAAGATTTTAAAATCAACAAATTTGATGTGTTAGTTTGCAATAACTTAACTTAATAATTGGGGTTGACATGTCTGAAAACAAAAATCCAAAATAATACTAGATTAAAAAAAAAAATTTTGTTACCGCAACTGCATTATTGTAAATGCGATTTCTTAATTAATTATTAATAAACAAAAACATTAAGTACTAATAGTAATATTTTTATTAATTTTAGTGGAGAGGTGATTTTCAATTTTATTACATTTTTGCACGTAATTAAAGAATTCTTAATGTAAATATAAAATCATATAAAAATTAAAACATTAAAAGTGATGTTTAAGTGGTACATACACAAATGTGACATATTATCATTGGACTAAAATTTATTATTAATGTTTGATGTTGATAACATTAATTTCGCGGGGTCGTGTCTCCGAAGTGACATAGGTTCACGTAGGTAATTTTCAGCCCCTTTAAAATTAATTGCTTCTGAACGCAAGTGTACTTTCGTGTAATGAAATATCGAACCAAAAGCATTAACATAACGTTTCTATTACACTAGAATTGGAAATATTGTTATGTTAATTGTTTTTTTTAGCTGATGCATACTAATACTGTTTTGCGGTTTATACAGATTAAAGAATAAAATAAATTACAAAATTGCACTACGATTCAAATTATTTATAATATCGTTCCATGTTGTAGCTTTAAAATTAAGTGTAAATTATGACGATTATTTTTATAATCGATTGTTTACTGTAGTTTCCTATATTATTAAGTAATTTATTGTTTATGTACGTTTCTTAAATTTATTTTTCCTTCGGTGCATCCGTTTCCAGATTATATGTTTTTTTTATCGGTCGATAGGAGAGATCTAAAGGGAGATTATTTTCCCTGTGTTCTGTGAATTTTACTATTACTATTCGACAGGCGTTTGCCGCCGTGAAGGCACTAAAACGTTCTATAAGTCATTCCGCATGACTTATAGAACGGTTGAAGGCAAACTTTTGGTCTCGTCTTTCTGTGGTCACAGCTAAGGGTTCAAACGCTTAGGCGGCTGTAATTTCAAACAAATGGGATTGAAGACGACGTGGGAATGCTCTAATGTCAACTGCGTTCTTGTTCCAGTGCTGCGGACACTGCGGACTCACCCATACTTGAGGAGACCGGCGAAAGTGGCTCAGAACAGAAGCCCAAACCGCCTGTCAAATACGGCGAATTAGTTATACTGGGGTGAGTATTACCTACTTGTAATTATATTATTCTAGTTCTAGTAATTGTTAATTGATAATTTTGCCATGATGGAATAACTGACGGGACGTTATGATTATTAGTAATGGGGACCAATGGTCCTAATGTTAGCAATATATGTAACATTCGATAAGTTCTACACCCTTATGCCTGGAACAATCACTGTGAATTTGTATTGTTTGAATAAAGTGTACAGTATGTAAGAGGTCACGAACAATCTTAAAAAGTATGCAAATATACTGCTTGGGGGCAAAAATAGGCGAGACTTGTACCCAGGTGACCTAAATGTTACTTGCTTAAATTAACCTAACCGACTTGCTGACGCTGCTGAAGTTTTAAATAAAATCCAAAAATATATTATAAAATAGTGTTACCAGCTCGTATTAACTTTCTTTCTTAATTCTTTTATATGCGTAAGGAATATCGAATGAAATATTAAGGCTTGATAGACAGATGTTCCAAGATCATATATGATCTGTCTTGTTTCTGTCTTAAACAGGACTCAAGACTCGAATTATGACAGTGCCCAGATATCCGTATAAAAATAGAAGTATATAGCACATATAGCATATTTAAAAGAATGTAATCTTAAAAAACGTTTATTCAATTTTCGTTCTTTATAAAGTTGAGTAAATAATGTCACTAATTGTAATTTTATCACATGTTTTTGAGGTATGCAGGGCATAGTGGCGTTAACACATTTACCTTGAATATTCTGTAACTACTTTTATAATACTAACTAGTATACCGCGGCTTCTCTAAAATACCCCCCACTTTCGTTTTACCCATCACTACTGGGCTTTTCTTAGTCTATATATTGACCTATATTTAACAACATTCTGTCAACTTTACCTTTATACTTTTAGCTGTACTTAATTACGTGAAACCGTAACACAAACAGACATAAAGACATTTATTGTCTTGTCTTTGAATTTTATTATATTATATGTATACATAAAAAATGAGTATGGTAAGAATAATTGTATATACCTAAATAAAAATATTAGTTGGAGTGGTAATTATGTACAATAGGTTTTGAACCAGCCTTATATTTTATATACATACTTCTTGATTACTTGTGAAGACGTACCACGTTTGCTAACCTTATCTCTTGTTTATGAATGAATGTACAAAACAAGATTAAAGATAAGGACATTAATTGATAAAAAACAGTTGACGTTCATAACAATATGTTGCTTGCTGTTAAGGTACTTTTAAGAAAGTCGAAATACTGTATTTACTATGCCCGTACTCATTTCTTAATTGAATCCTCTCAGCATCTCAAAGGCTGTAAGGAAGAGATCCAGTGCGTCTGTTATTGTATAGTATTGACATAATTTAATGTCATTCTCAGAATGCATTCCACGTAATGGGTCTGATTCCACCCAGAAAAAAAGTGTAAAATGAAATATATTTTTTTAGTTTTATTTTAGTTGTAACTTTAATTTCAAAATTCCATTTTATATCTTGTGCGAATAGATTCAGTTTTATGAGCATTAACCCGGTAAATAAGGTACAGCAGAAACTTTACAATAGATTACAATTCCCCATTTAGGTCACGGGTATACCTCTATAAAGTTCTTCCTTATGAGATACCAGTGACTTGTGATTGTTAACTTACTATTATGCTGGCCAGACGGTACATCGTTTTATATCGAGCTTTCCATCTGCCCCAGTATTGTGCTTTGTTGCGTCCATTTCAGGAACTAACAAGGGTAAGGGTCGTATTAAATTGTAGTCGCAAATATATCATTCTACACAACCTCATACAATGGAGGTGTTATGTATCTTATAATTCGATCAATCGTACTGTTATGACGTTACATTTTAAAGTTATTCTGATGCTTAATCGGTTATAAAAGAACTTACCATACGATTTGGACAGGTCTATTTCGTATATGTTTTTTCTCTCATTCACATTCAGTTATTGACGGTTTAGACTGCTAATCCCCTAGGTCGTTTCATTTTAGTTTTTATATTTAATTTTAAATTCTTCCTAGGATACAGATTCCTCAAATTCGGAATCCGTTTAGATTATATATATTTTATTATCTTTAAAAATCTGACAGCAAATCAATTCACAAAGCAACATATATCGAATTATCACAAAAAAATATTATCAAATTGAGAATCTCTTTTCTTTGTACTTGGTTCAAAAAAATCACGTTCATAAAAGTATAATAATCATATCTTATAAAAGTGTGTATTTTTTTATGAAAAATAAAAATTGACATTAAATCATGAATCCCATTTGTTTAATGAGTACTTTGAATGGAATAGACAAAGCATAAGTGTAACTGAATTAGGATTCGACAAGGACACAACAATAATAAACGTAACATGAATTTACAAAAAGCAACTAAACTAACGTTTGTTATGTTAATACAATTATTTTGTTAAACTTGCCGTGTTTGCAATTATAAACTTTATTGTACTACTATTTAAGTTGCAGACTGTTTCATGTATATACAAGTACACGCTAATATTTGTAGAGATAAAACAATTATTTATTTTGAGTTGTGTTATAATGTAATACCTCTTGGTAGTTATGGTTACTATTTCGTATGCGTAAATTCTATTATAGCGCATATTGTTACAATTAACTTTTTTATGGGTGAACCTATTAGAATTAAATAAACACTAATGATTCCGGAATTTTATTTTGATATAATTGTGAAAACTGAATTCAAATTGGTTAAGTAATATCTGAGATTAAAGTGTACGAAACTTTTTTCTGTAATATAAGTACAGATTTGTATATGGCGCGTTTACAATTTTTTATATTCGCGTATGAGTAGTGAACATGTTATTGAAACTTCATTGTGTTAAAGATATGAAACACTTGTTAATCGACGTTTTGTTGTAACAGATTCATTCATAAATTAAAGAGAATTAATTTACTCTGCTTGGCTCGGCCAATACGCTGTACACATTGAACATACTTTCAAAAGAAAACGGTAATAAAATGCATAGTTTTTTTTATATTTTCACGTACAGATTATACAAAAAAATTACGGAGTATATTATTTATTATCTCGTCGTGAAGCTAATGTTAAATTATTTACCTAACGATATTTATATCACGCTACACTACTAGCTGCCCGTCCTGACTTTGAACCGATCTAACAATGTAATATCTTTAATAAAATATATAAATACACTTAAAAACTAGATGAAATTTGTTTCTATTGTAAGATATCTTTCTATCTTATGAGATATCTTAATTTCTTGTTTGTTTCGTGATACAGAATGATACAATTTATACAATTTGTTGGCTATACTTTAATAAAATATTTAGTATATTCCATTTCTATTTATTAGCTTGAATTTTGTGTGTCCTGGTTTATAAGAAATTATTTTATCATGCTTTTAACATCCCATAAAAGATTAAAATGTTAATTTTACCGCATTTACAGTGCATGTTAATTATTATTGTAATAGATACGTTGATCCCATTCTATCTGTTGTTTCTTACGATACTCGCAGATTAATGGACCGAAACTGTACAGCTATGGAATAATGTTATTAGTCACGGAACCCTAAAAATATCGCATTGCTCGGATACAAGGTTAAGTAAACACGTGCGGATTAGCGCATAGCATGCGATATTACGAATTCTTGCTTCTTTGGTTCTTCTACCAGATACGTGACGTCAAACCACTTCCGTTCCGATTATGTTCCCAAGAGTATGGCGGATATAACATCGTATAGAGATATCGATATTGTTATATGTAATTTGTATGGCAATCAAGCTTACGGCCCATCTGATGAGAAGGGCCAACTGTCACCCATATAAGTGAATAGCACCACGGACATAACGTGATCATGTGACGCACGTTGGAACTCGGTTACGTTACTCTTACGGAGCACTAAGGTGCCTTTTGTAATTTTACTGCTTTACAAAGCAAACATCTTGGCGACTAAAATACGTGAGAAATGAGTACCTAGTACCTACCTACCTACGTAGGCGACTTTGTGCAAAGTCTATCTTCACCGGATTATTTGCACTTAGGTTTTATAATTATCGCTTCTAGAGAATGGCATAAAAAGAATATACATTGTAAATTCTTTTTAATAATAGAAATAATTAATTTCATTTTGAAAGGAGCCAACATAATTTGCTTTTAAAAATATATACCTACTATAGGAAACCATTTTGTTAGTCGTTGGTACTTTTGGTGGAATTTGGAACTCGATTTGCGTTGGCAATAATAATAATTTTCATCAATGTTTTATGTTCTAAACTGAGCGCAGTTTGTACTATGGATACTGAACAACTAATAGAAATACGTATGTTTTTTACAATCAAATTCATGGAATACATATGTTTATATGATGCGAGATTCAACCAGCGATGATCGGAAGCAAAGCGATATATCGCACGGGTGCATTACAAATCTTTGAATATCTCGGCCTTTCTGCACTAAAATATGCATTGAATTTACTTTTAAAGGATTGAATTTACTATTATACATATTATCTTTTTTTTTAATCGCTCTATCTATTGCTAAAAGTGCATTACAATCAGTTACTTAGTTTAAATGATCTGAGCATACAGATAACGGCGACGACTTTGTTTTATATTGTGTAAACATGATATGAGATGTTTAAAACAATTCTACTATTTAAGGTTTATTATTTTTATAGGTTGAATGTTTATTACTCAGACACGCTTAGATGGCTTAACGGTATTGAAAGAAATTTCGTACAAATCATCCATAACCCGGGTAATCACATAATGCTATTTATCATATTTCATGTGATCCAAGTCGCGAGATACAGCTTTTATGCAATGCAGGATTTGTGATCACTAAAGCTTAAGTGTTGGTATCAATCAAGATACGGCTGATGCTTTTGGATGGATTATTCGATGGCAAATGGTAACCGTTGCATATAAACATGAACAGTACTAGGGCATCACGTTATCATACATGTGATGCTCGTATCACTTATGTGTTGCCGTTCGGGGAGTTTGCCCAGTC